TCTTGATTATCATATATTTAGTACTCAAAATATTTAAGGGATCTTCATCAACAAAGAATACTTTGTCATTATTATCTGTATATGTTGACCTATAACTGTCGGCAAACCCGACACCTCAACTGGCTTGCACGACCCAACTTCCCCCACGATCAGTTGTAACCGGATGTAACCGCTCCTCACAACAAAACCGAAGGTATGGACATCCAAAGAGACACGCACACAGAGGAGATTTTGGAAACTTACCTCTCGGACGCTGGTTCGAACTCCTGCGATCTACTCGTCTCTTCCGCCTGAGCCGACTCCCTCTGCAAATTCAAATCGGAGCCGGACACATCCTCCAACCCCGTGCCCTAGCTGGCCCAACTCCTGCTCCCGCCGACCTCCAGGTGCCTACCTCAACGCCTGGTCTACGCCTCCCTACCCGATCGAGCTCCCCTCCCTACAAGTTGAAAAATAAATTGAAGATTTTTGAAGGAAGTCCCGGGGTTTGATTCGATCCCTCGAAGCCCTCGATCATCGAGCTTATCCGACTGAGGGATTGAAGACTTGAAGACTCAATCGCTCTCCCAATCTCCTCGTCGTTGATTCGCTCCGATCGAGTCGAGCCAAAAGGGCAAGTGCCCTCCTTACCTCCCGGCGCCAGGTAGGGGACGCCGAAAGGCTGCCAAAATTTACTCGAAAATCCTGGACTTGGCCAAATTTTTGAAAGATTGAAGAAACATGCACTGATTTAACTTGGAATTAATTAATTGAACAAACAAATCAAAATTTAATTTCAACTAAAATTCATTTAATCAATTGATGCAATCGAGCATCAACAATCCTCGACAATCATCTGCAATAAATCATCGTCAATCAAAACTTCTGAAGGCCAAATACAGGACCCGACAACGTTCCGAAGTCCCTAGCCGTTGATTCGCTCCGGCCGGGCGAACCTGAAAGAGCAAGTGCCCTTCTTACCTCCCGGCGCCAGGGAGGCGACGCCAGGAGGCTGCCCAAATTTAATCGAAAGTTTTGGACTTAGCCAAATTTTTGGAAGATTCGAAAAACATTCACTTAATTGGATTTCTAAATAAACCTTTAAAATTAAGAACCATAATTAATTAATCCAACTCAATCATTTGGAATTCAAGCTAATTAATGTAATTTAAATAATCAAGTTATAACTTAATCAAACTATTAATCTAAATCGATTTCTGATTAGAAACCAAAATCAATTAATTGAACCAACATCTTAGAGAATTCAATCTGAAGTTAAATGAACCTATTAACCAATTAAAACTTTTAAACTAAAACCTAAATAAATCAATTAACTAATTCATTTAACTAAAATGAAATAATTTTAAAATTTGATCTAAAGAATTAAAATCTTAGCATTAATTAAATGGTCAAAATTAAATAATTTGATTTGAATTAAAAAAATTCATTAAATTAGAATCTTAAAATTTAATTGAATATAAATTTATGTCAAATTAAAACCTTTAAAATAATTAATCTAATAATTGATTGATTTAAATAACATTAACTTTAACCAATTAAATGAGCAAATCGGATCCGCAACATGTGTAAAAGCGGACAGAAGGCGTTTGTAGGCCCTTTAAAAAAAATCTCGAGTATTTTTTTAAACAAAACCACTTGCGCAGATGGATCATATTTAAATATTTTAAAATCTCCCCTTATGTATTAAATATGACTCCTTAAACTGAAGCACAAAATACCTGCATGTGCTCCGGTCAATGTGTTAAAGTTACGAACACAAATGTCCGCGAATGCTGCCCAGGGTCAAATGCTCGTTAATAGAACATTTTATTTGCAAAATTAAATACATCCGCATGTGCTCCAACAAATGCGATAAATTCCCAAATGCCAATGTTCAAGAATGTTGCGCGGGTTGAATACTCAAGTTTCATCCTCCTCCTTCAAAGGACTGGAGTTGACCTAACTTGAATCATAAAACACCTCCCAAATTCCTACGAAAATACAAGTGAATTTAACTCCACCATGATGATGGCCATGTTGATCGGAAATCTCAACCGAATGGATCAAATCTCAAATCCAACAAAAGTTTAAATCTTTGAAATGAAATCTTTCACTTAAAAACTTGAAACTAAAATCATCCACCTCCCGCAACCTTTTGTCGGGGGTGATAAATTTGAAATTAACATAAGCTCACAAAGAGCGAATGTGTATCGGGTGTATCACTAAGATTCATCCTCAAATAGTCTATTGCCAGCAGGGACATGACACGTGCCTTCTGATAGGGTGGTTCTACCGTAAAATGACACCATTATATTATGATCACGGTCAAAGCCCGTATGTTCCCTAAAGGCTTCAAACCCTTGAGTAATGAATCATATGGTGGTATAATCGATAGGCATAAAGCCCTCTGTCAATTAAGGTGGGTTCAAATCTATCCTTTTAGACAAACATCAACCCAAGTTTACAAGATATTCTTGGACGAAGCAACACATGGTTGTCGATAAGGTGCCTTCTGTTAGGTTGGGTCGATCACCTCCTCTATCTAAGTAGACCAGGGATCATGACAGCCAAGGACGACGGAATCATGGGATATTGATCGGGCTGGTCTTCATTCCCCCCACCATCAATTTTAAGTTCATTGTGATAAATTCCAAATCATAAAATCAAATTCAATCCCTAAAACTGTTCTTATAATACACTGGATTTATGATCCATACGACCTCCTTAACGACTAACCTTAATTGAAAGTTCTCTCCTGTTATCGGGAGAGGTAATTAACTATAGGGGCTTGCGCCTATACGAAACTAGAACTCAGATAATAAAGTCCTCACAAAATGAGGGCGAAATCTCTGGGTAATGTCTTATATAAAACCTAATATGCCTTTTAAAAATATTCCTGGAACCTAAACTCGTTAAAACTCCTCGTCGTCACTAACAAACAAAACATAAAAAATAGACTGGTGCGGAGAGGCGGGAAACGCGAACAATGGAATTTTTGGAGCCCACAGTTTAATAATTTATCGTTAGATCGTTATTAAAAAAAAAAGAATGGAAGGAGGCACTTGAATCGAATAACCATGTATCTATTCAACTTTCTGCTTTGAGTATTAGTGCATCCTAAATGTCTCCAACAATAATATTTATTATCTCTTATTTTGACTTTTGGCTTTATTCATCCCTTTTTCATGTATTCGTGTATTAAGTGGCCAAAATTGCCACAATACCAGCATGCACTTAGGTGATCTCGTGACTAGGTTTTATTATCATTTAATTGAAGGTTATATTTGTTTTTGCCAACATTCTGAGATGTGATCCTAAGGTCATTTAAAATAGAAGATTATGTACTCACTTTTCTCGAGTTATCTGATATCCTTGCTAAGTATAAGATATCTGACATTAGTAAGTTTTCTTTGTGGATGATCTATAAGAACTATTGATAATTTTTACAATGCCATCCCAACTCTCAAGCAATGATGAGAGCAAACTCAAAGTATGAATCTAATCATCGAAATTTAAGTTTACAGTGTTCCAACTCTCATGACTAAGTTGAACTCATGAATGCAATCGGTGATCGAAACTCCTAACATCCTGAGATTGAAAAACCTGTTCACTATATGCACCTCATTGATTGTAAAGGCCTTTTTGAATATAACATAGAGCAACTTAATGACACTTGTTATTGTCATCTCATTGAGGATTTTGAAGGTGACATTCATATTAAGGGTAGGAGATTGACACATAGAGTTTTCTTGTCTGTAAACTCACACTTTTCTTGATTGATTGACTCCAATTTTACTATCTTCAATAATTGGTAAAATTTTCTTTAGTACAAATAATCTTCTATATGGAACTTCCAAGTCCAAAATTTCAATCATTGAACTTATCAAGTTTGATCTTTTTGTCTTCCATGTTCGAATCTAAATGCTTTTTAGATTAAATCTTTGACACTGGTTGTTAGGATTGTGATAAAACTTTGGGCAAAAAAATTGATAATGATGAGGGAATAAAAACATTTAGACATGACAAAAACAAGATAAATAAATTTACATGGTCCAATGAGATCCACCTATGTCAATGACAATACAAAGATCAAATATTTCATCATGCCTCAAAAGAGATACATAAAGAGATATTACATTTTATATGAATAAAGATTAACATATCAATTTATCTGTGTTCAGGATTGAGGGAGAACGCATCCATCTATTGTAAAGACGAAGCTTGAACATGGAGAATAAGACATGGCGTTGCTTATCCTTCTTACTTCCCTTCTCTGTTGTGAGAGTTTTTTTTCCTCTCATCCTTTCTCTTTCCCTCTTTTCTCATTCTTCATTTTATTTTGCTTAGGATTGTGACATACTTTGCAAGTAATGATTACATGAGTTTTTACAGTTAAGAATTCACCTGTCAATATTAATAATTAACTACAACTAAAGACTTTTGTAGTAACCTCCATTGAAGGTTTTGTCGTAGCATCTATTTAGGACTTTGCACACAACTCACTTTAGTCTGTTGGTTGAGAGCTTAGACTACCAACTAAGAGATCTTAGATTCAAATCTTGTGTATAGGATGTGCGTGTAAGTCTGCCTTAATTGGCCAAAATGCCCAAAAAAAAAAGACATTGTCATAGTTTCCATTTAAGACTTTCACGTTTTTGAAGTGGGAAATTAAATCTAACAATCACTTTAAAATCTTAGTTAAAAAAAAAAGATTTTAATCCCTTTTAGAAAAAGAAAAAAACACGAATTTTTGTAGCGGCTTAGAAAGTGAATGCACTTATCTTTTTCTAAAAGAATAAGTTCACTATTGCTCGATAATGTTATTAAGATATTGTAAAATCAAATATAATTCCGATTCCATTTCAATCTCCAGATGCAAGAAAGCTTGGTTAAAACTGCATTAAGGCATTGGGGTCCAGCCGATCTTAAGATAGGCAGGGGCGCGGGGCCAATGCAGCTAATCAAACGATTTGGAACGAGGCGTAAGATGACATGAAAGTGGAGTAAGGTAAATAGCATACCTGTGAAGAGAATAGCTTAGTGCCGGAAGTGGCAGTGCCCGAACAGCAATGGCGGATTCTCCCAGCCATGGAACGGAGAATCGGGGAGTTAGGGCTATTTGAGTTCTCGCTCTCTCTCTCTCTCTCCAGAAAAGAAATGGAGAAATTATTACGCGCCTGGCCTATTTGTACACGTACATGTGTACAAGTTATACCGTATGTACAAATTTGTAGGCGCGCGCTCTCTCTCTCTCTCTCTATATATATATACCATGTGTATAAAATCTATACAAGTTTGTATAACATACATATGATATGTGTACAAGAAGAATTTATACGCATCTTGAGCCGGGCCGAGTTGTCAAGTCATGCTAGATAAAAGAAATACATATGTCTTCATTTAATTGGAAGTTCGATTGTAGAGTTACATCCAGACTCTGCACGTAATAATTTCTACCAAAAATGATTGACCATCCTTATCAATATTTTTTTAGGAACAGGGTCTCTACCCGCTGCCACCCACTTAGGAGGCACTTAACATCGTAAGTTAATGGCTCAGTAGAACCTAGCGGCAGCCAACCCATAGGCATCAGGCCCACACTTGCTTATGTTGGGGTGCTTTTTCTTGTAACTTTTTCTTACTTGTAATTCCCTTCTTATTTTAGTGATTTTTATGGGCCTTGGCCCCAAAATTCCCCCCCCCCAAAAAAAAAAAAAAAAAAGTTGGGGGGTTCCATTGAATGCGCCAAACGGTTTGGTTATTTTACTTCTTTTAAAATTTGATAAAATTCCGCTCCTTCAACTAATTACATTTTTCTCGTGCTTCTTCTTAAAATTTCTTCGTTGACAAATATTTAGGTTTTGGGAAGGCAAGAAATGTCATAAATTGAGCAACAGATTTAGGCTTCGTTTTGAGATCGATTTCTTATTATTTTTCAAAGCAAATTTTTATTAAAAATATTTTTGTATTAAAAACTATTTTAAAAAATAGTAAGAAATATGTCTCAAACAAAATCATAGTTTTAGATATTAGTTATGTAAATAGCATAGCTTTAAATTTTATGTGTGTAAATTCCTAATAAATTTTAATAATCTTAAAATAAATTTAATAAATTTTAAGCACATTTTGATCCATAAAGGGATTTACACACATTTCAACCTCAAAAAAATTCTATGAAATAGTGAGAAATTTACAAGAAAATAATAGTCAATCGATTCTCATTGCTTCTCTTAAAACAGTTTTTTGATACAAAAATTAAATTTTTATACTAAAAAAACTATTTGAAGAAACATTAAGAAAGCCATCCCAAACAAAGCCAAAATTGTGCATGGTTGTTCTCTAAAAAACAAATCAACCAGAAAGCTGCCCTAAATAGACTCTTGATTTAAGAAACATTTATTCTCAATTAGATTTAAACTTTTTATAATCAAAATTGATAACTTCAATCAGCTCTTTAAAATATAGGTAATATAGATATAATAAGGTGGCATATATGTAAATCCCCCAAATATATAATATATACATACATCCTTCTAAATTCACGTACCCCTTTATAAGATTTACTTCTTTGATGTATCAGAAGTATATCAATGTCTTATATATATCGACAAGTGATATAGATTGCTTAAAAATAATGACTAATATTGCTTAAACTTCATTCGTGACTGTATTGGTTAAGACTTCGATCGGCAACTATACAGTGCCTCGTGGTTTTAAATTGGCCATTGAAAAAGGCATGAAGAAGATGTCACTTTTAATGAACAATAAGAAGAGGTCACCATCACTTTTAGGGTTTGTTTGAGACAATTTTAGTGTTTTATTAAATTTGTTATGATGTTGTTTTGGAGAAAACAATTTCGATGCTATGGACGTTGCATAAAGCAGTTTTCGATCTAAAAAATTCTAAGAAACAGTGAGGAATCTACAAGAAAACAATAGTCAATCGATTATTACTGCTTCTTAAAACATTTTTCTAATACAAAAATTAAAAATTTATACTAGAAAGCTATTTGAAGAAGCAATAAGAAAGTCGTCCCAAATAAAGTTAAAATTGTGACTATTCTCTGAAAAGTAAAGCAACTAAAAAGCTGTCCTAAACGAACAATTATTACGTCCTCCGACCAGATGCAGAGGAACGTCCGGTCGGAGGCCAAATCCCGCCAAAAAATGAGTTGTACCGAGCAATACCAAACAATAACGAGGAATACCATCATTTGAAGACCCAATACAGAGTTATACCGAACTAAACCGAGAAATACCGAGTTATACAAAAGTTGTACCGAGTTTTTCCTAGGTACAACTCGGTATTTCTCGGTACAGCTCAGTATAACTCGGCATTGGTCTTCAAAGAGCGGTATTCCTCGTTAATATCAAATAATACCTAGTTGTACCAAGCAAATACCGAGTTTTTTGGCGGGATTTTGCCTCCAACCGGATGTTCCTCTACGTCCTTACACTGGACGTAATAAAAGTTCGTCCTAAACAGACCCTTAATCTAAGAAATATTTGTTCTCAGTCAAATTTAAACTTTTTCGAATCAAAATTGATAACTTTATTAAGCTCATTAAAATAGAGGTGATATTACTATTATTATTATATTATTATAAAAATTAGATTTAATTCCATGATTAAATCGATAAATTCAAGTAATATATTAAAAATTGCTCCAAAAGAAATCATGTTCATTCTTCACACAAAGTACAATTACAATTTCTTCTCTAAATGCAACATCCACACTTCAAAGCAATAAATTTCTTTGCTCATATTCCACAAGTAGTGCCCATCAACAAGAGCTCATCCAATTCTTTCTCACTGAATCCCCCAATTACAACACTAACCACAAACACCCAAAAAGAAAACATATAACCAAATTAAGAAGAATAAATAAAACGGCTTCTTCTTGCGCATGCAGCACCGATCCTTTCTTTATTAATCCTACTACTCAAACACGCAGAATCCAATATCGTCAACAGAATTCTCCTTCATCTTCCCTTCTTCCTCTCTCCCATTCTCAAGCAAAAGCAAAGCCATTTCCGAACCATTCATCTCTTCTGCCTTAAAATCTCCCACCAAACCATCCTCTTGACTCAGCTGTGACGCCACAAACTTATCCAGTTCTCTCCAATCTGTGACTCTCTCAACTGCGTAATTTCCCTCTCTTTCCTCCTCATTTTCACGTACTGAATGAGCATTAATGGAAAGAGAGCTGCTGCTCGAAGTTTTTATAAGCGGAAAGGAATTATAAGAGCTCTCGAGGTGCGGAAGTTGGATAAAGTGGTTGGGGTATTGAAGGAGTTTAGTTAACCCACCTTCCAGTTCAGTTTCTTGCTTTAGGTAGAGGCTTTTGGCATTTAGATGAGGAGAAAAAGTGGGATATTGATCCATGAAGGTTGTGATGAGTCTGCTGTTATGTTCGGGGAAGATATTGTAGTTTGAATCCCAATTGTCTAAGCTGCTTCTTGTTTGGCTGTTGGTGCGCTTCTTGAATGCTCGGCAAACCACCCAGCCTTCTTCCTGGAAAGAAGATGGAGATTAATTGACATTTTATATAGAACTTATTAGGAAAGGATGGAAGAAGAAGAAGAAAATGTGGGGATATCCTCAATCCAATTTTTAAGATGTAATATTAAATTTAATAATTATCAAGAAGACTGTAAAGTTTGCTTTGATCATATTTAAAACAAATATAATTCCGATTGAAAATTTTAAAGTTCACCAATTTTTAAAATGATATATATTTGCCAATTCAATCATTTTAGATAGTTAAATGTCAATCTTCTCATTTAATTGGTTTGCCAATTTTCTTCCAAGAAAGTAAGCTGAAATTTCTAAAATTCCCCAAGGCATCTCTCCCACCAGTCTTCCTCTCTTTAAATATGTTTTGTGCATCAATTGATTTAGGTTTCATTTGGGACAACTTTTTTATTTCTTCTTAAAGCAAATTTCTAGTAAAATTTTATACTAAAAAGCTGCTTTAAGAAATTATAAGAAAGCCGTTCCAAATGAAAGCCTTTTAAGTTTTGAAGTATCTCAAAAATTTCTTCAATCTAGTAATTAACAGAAAAACTTACTAAGTTTTACAAGACATAAGTAAGATACTTTATTAGATTCTAAGTGTATTACTGCTGCAAAATAATTCAAATTATTTGCCAGATTATAAATTTAGGAGACATAGGAGTTAAAGGAGGGATGTTAGAGTACATTTTGCTGGACAATTGGTCAAACTAAGAACACTTGACAGAGACAAACAAGAGGCTTTCCAATATCTCTAAACATTATTAAATCCTTAAGCAAGAAACAGATAGAGAAAATATGGGAAAGTGCCGACATAAGTGACCATGGTTGGCAATGCTTGTGGGTCTAATTCTTTCTTTTTTTTTTCCTTTTGTAACAACATGCATGAAAGGGATAGACGAGCTAATTTTTGGACTAAAAGGAATGGCATGGATTGATCACCTTTAAAAAAGGGGCATGCGCTCTACTATGAATTTTCTATTGATAAAGATGTGGGGAATGTTTGACGCTATCTTTGTTCATACACAAATGAAAGAAGCTCATGTAAAATCAATAGATGGTTTTCCTTCTCCATAAAGCTCCCTTTTTGAAAGGTGCTAGTCTAAAGTGATATTATTTGTTAATTTACTAGTGGAGAGCTAGCAATAGTTTAATAAGGATGAAACTTCTATGATTTCTTTGTATATATATAATTGTTATATTATCTCTAAGTTCCAAGATATATTTTAATTATTGTATTAAATTATGAGGTTATATATATATGTATATATTCTCCAAAAAATTGCACACATGGATCAAGATGATTAAAATAGCAGATACAAGATTGCTCATAAGCCACCTAAGAAAAAAATGTTCAGAAACAATACAAGACCGATGACTAATAATATTGAGACAACAATTGATAAAGGAGGTGTTGGAAAAACAACTTCTTAACATTATTTCATAGCAATGGATTTGGCCATTATAGGAGATAGTTTGATATATTTGTATCTAACATGTGATCCACGAGCTAATAATCAGAAGACAATAAAGCCGGGCTTCATAATTTAAAAAAAAAAATTCTTAAACTTACCAAATAGAATGGAAGGTCACCTTCAATATTGAGAGAAAAAAAAAATGAAATAAACAATTCTTATGGGTGGGAGAAAATATTGAAGGAGAGAGAGAGAGGGGTTGGGTGGAATAGTCTTAAGAGAAAGACTCCATCATGAGGACGGATCTTCCAAAATTGTGAGCTTGGAGTAAAGATAAGGAAGCAAGGAAGGAAGAGATTCCCCCAAGCATTCATGAACAACATTTCTAAGGGTAAGGGCCGGGCAACCAAAATGGAAGTCAAATACAATTTTATAATAATTTATCTATTGGTGTGTTAGCTATCAAATTTTGATGATATAGGATATAGGATAGACATGAATATGATCCAAGGGAGTAAGAGAAATCACAACATCAGACTATGGATAAGGGAAGGCATAATCGGCCTGGTAATGAGAAATTGATGGTTAGAAAAGATGATTGGTACAATGGGAAGAATCATCATTGAATCAACTATATTAGAAATAATAACTCGTTAAATCCTCAAAAAGAACATTATACTGAAAGCCATTTTTCCTAATTGAGATCTACACAATGGAGTCAAGTAAATGATTAACCTCAATCACAATTAAGACTAGCCAAAAAAAAAAAAAAAAAAAACCAAATATTAGTTAAAGATTAAAATATTTGAAAGTTAAAGATTATAATATTTGAGGTTTTCGATCTAATAATAAAAGAAAATGACAAAAATAAATTTATGATTTCTTTAACTTCATCAATGTGTTCCATATATGTATTGCATCATGATGTTCTGTTTGATAGTATTCGAGGTAATCCCTATCAAACATTGGGACCCCTTGGTGACATCGGTGTCTTATAATCCATAACTTTAATGATGTCGATCTCCTCTAAGGTCCCCTTAGAGGCCTTCTATTACCTAGAGTCCCTTTCACCGATCATATATGTCTTTCTTCTAGCTCCAACTCCTCATCTCATGTATTCATCTTGATGCCCCCTCTCCTTCAATTATTCTCTTTCCTCTTATTTCACTGATCGCTAGCTCCATCATAGAGATCAATATGCCCCTTTGATCGATAACAATTAATGTGGTGCCTCCTACTCTATCATGACCTTCTATACCATTATAGCCACATATATAACACTTCCTCCTAAGAGCTTCACTTGGTGGTTTTCCCTATATTATAAAGGGTTTACTCTCGATCAAACTTAATTTTGTTTGCTCCAGTCCCCTTATATTTTGCCTCTGAACGACATGTAAAATCATTTACTTTTATAATAGGTATTGGGATATCTTTCAAGTTTCCTCCTATTGGTAGCAAGCCACTTTCCCTAACATTCTTAAAGAATGATATTTTATCTTTTTCTCTCTCTTCTTTTGAGGGTCAATTTATTTTAACGCTTTTGATAGTAAAATAGAAAACTGATATCCTCTTTAATCTTTATATTTTTAGAAATTCTTATGTGAAAGGTCACTATTATAAAAAATCAAGAACTCGCTTAAAGTATGTTATTGTTAAGACAACTTCTCAATTTCCTTAGATCCAAGAGTATCTTACTAAAATTTGAAATGACAAAAGATTGCTTAGCTTTACTTTTGAATAGGGACTTGAATATTGATTAATTTTCATGAGGATTAGCAAATGGTCTCTATATTTTAACATTATATATGAATGTCAAATTACTCTATTTAGATATTATTCCTAATCCTTAAAGTCCATTTCATTGTTAATATTTTTTTTAACATTTGCTAAACCTCTTCATCAAACTAATGTGCTTATTGATTCCCTTTCTAGACCATTCATTTCTAAAGTACTTATTGAAGTAGATATTATAGAAATGTTTTAATTTTATCTTAATTGAAAAAAAAAAAAGGATTAGATGTAGACAAAGATGGTTACTTGAAAAGATTCTAAAATTTTGTATGCACTATTACTTAATTTGGCACAAGAATTTCTTAGGCAAAAATGTAGAAAGTCAACTTAATGAAAATTAATAGTATTGAGATAAATGCATCCTATTTAAAATAATAAAATCCTCTCCTTCAAATGATTACAATAGATATATTACTTCATTAACTTCTCCTTCTTTGTCACTAGGTTACCTCCTTCTTCTAGGAACTCAAACTTTAGTTCAACATAGAGATATCTTGTGTTCTAAACCCAATTAATGATTTAAATTTTTTAATGATGATAATTTTTCATCAGAGGTTATCCTCCCCTCTCCCACACTTCTACCATTTAAGTTACAATATATCTCTATAACTTTCTATTTGTTTCTTACAAATAATCCTCTTTCATATATGTATAGTATCAAAGGGCTCAGAAAGATCATTGTTTTCTCTATGAGAATATTAGATCTAAAGATGACATCCCCTTCGATTTTATAACTAAATTCAAGGATTCATCATTGTAATGATAAGCTAAAGGCAAGCAGAATTGAACTATGCGAAGAACCCACAATTACTAGATACTAGTGATCGATCCTTCTAAGTGGGAAACTAACCTTTTTTTTCATGTGTTTATGACTATCATTTTTTTTGTTTTTTGACATTCTTGATTTTGTATCTCTTTTATTTTCATTTTTTTATTTTATTTGGAACTAAGATTCTCCTTTTTTATTTTCATCTTTATTAATAAAATATTCTCTTTATTTCGTAAAAAGATAAAATTTTATATTTAAAGAATTAAATATTAATTGGGCATGAGAATGGAAAAGCAAAACATGAGCAACTAGAGTTCAAATTAAGGGTTAAATGTAGAAGTCCACCTCAAGAGGTGAAGTAGTAATATGAATACTATGTATTTCATATGAGAGAAAATGCTAATATAACTACTAAAATTATAAAATCTAATATGAACATGTTGTTGATCTTCTAGACCCACAATTTGTCAACTAGAGAGAAAAAGATTTAAGAAAAACTCATTGAAAATAGCTAAGGGAGGGCCACTTGAGGTAAATTTATTTATTAGAGTCAAATAAAAGGCTTAGTAAGGTCATTTATTTTTAGCTTGAGAGAGAGAGAGAGAGAGAGAGAGAGAGAGAGAGAGAGAGAGAGAGAGAGAGAAGGCAGGCTTAGGTAATAAGACATCAACTTCAAGACAATCAAAGTTGAGGTAGTGGATGAGGAGAAACCTTGATGAAAACTTTGGGAGTAGTTGAAACATAATTATTAAAAGGAACTTCAACCATGACTGCTTGAGCAAACTAATGGTGAGTCAACACAAATGGGCTCTCTAATTGACCATCCAAAATAATTTCTTTGGTAAAGAACAATGAGAGACGAAAGTTAGTGGAGCAGGACTTCAACAAGGACACGTAGTTAGCACAATCGACCATTAAAATCAATAAAGATCATATGTGGTACCCTGTGAGAAAGAAACACTATCGGTAGAAACCGGCACAAGTTTCATCAAACAAATATAAGATAGGATCTCAAGAATAGGAAAAAAAAGTGACATCAAAGGGAGGTTCATCAAACACAGCATACCTAAAAAAATTCTTATATATTATCATGTAATTGAAGTGATTCATCATAAAAATTATAGTGCATGCATCTAATTAATGATAAAATGATCTTAAAATCTTTTATGTTTTGCACACTAATCATTTTAATAATGGCAAAGAGAATTGATGCTTTTTTTAATGTTTGAAATTGATTAAAAAAAACAATTAATTTATGAGGAAAATGATAATTCTTCTCCTTTGGTTCAGCCAACATACTCTTAATTGATTTTTGTAATATTGATCTCAAATTTGTGATTTTTGTAATATTGATCTCAAATTTGAGACTTGCATGAGACTTTCGTTCTCTCAAGCTTTTATTGATCATAGTATAAGCTGAAAACATCCTTAAGAGCAACAAAATATGTAAAAATTTTTATCCCATCAAACAATTAGCTTTACTATTTTATGCTAGGGAGGTGGAACATAAGGGCTCTAAGTTGAACCAAATGTATTAGTAAGTAATACCCTTAACCATAAACTTAAGGGCCATTAATAACAACAAAAGCTCAAATTTTATTTTTTGGTATTATTGTATAACTATTTTTTTTTCTCACAATCTTAACAACATGATCAACATAAATATATTGAAAATTAAATAAGTTATAAATTTCGTAAGTATGACAAGCATAGAATATTGTTTTTAAATATAAATAAGTAAATGTTAGAATTGTGAGAACTCCCCTTGATACCCCTCCTAAGATGAGTTTTCTTTTCAAAAAAGTAAGTTCTTAGATAGTTAGATTAATTACCTGAGGCTGTGCATTTTCTTCAGTTTCAAGCCTGTATTCATGCATAATCCAGTCTGACTTCTGCCCATTTGGCGCCCTTCCCTTATAGTACACAAGCGTTTTTCTCATTCCTATGAGCTTCTTCTTATCATGCACAGCCTTATCTCTCCCAGTTGCCTTCCAAAATCCCGCCATTGTTGCTCTGTTAGTTCTTGTACCAGTCGGATACTTCTTATCCTTGTGACTGAAGAAATACCATTCCGTCTGCTCCTCATAACCAATACGGCAACGTTCTACTAAGTTCAAATAAAACAAAATATAATATAAATATATAGAGAGCATTATAATTAAGTAATTATGTATCGATATGATCGATGACTAACCTTGGAGATCCCATGGCTCAATTCTGTAAAGATCAACGTCTCTGATGACATCAAGATCAATCTTTTGAGAAGCCACCTTCTTTTTGAGATAGTAGCCAACCAGCTCCTCATCCGTTGGATGGAAACGAAAGCCAGGAGGAACACACGATTCTATGGAATCCATGTCCGGCCTGCACCAAATTCATTTATCGTTTTCTTTGTAAGGTTGTGTTTGGATAAACATGATCATTATAAAAAAATTATTAAAATTTACTTCATTTCATTTCATCATGGCTTTCTCTTTCAATCCAAAAAACTTTAAAGCCTAATTTATAGTTCATGAAAATAGTCCTAAAAAAATCACAGGAATAGGAGCTGTTTAATCTGTCCAGACTGGGCTGAGATGGTAAGGATGGTAAATTCTTTTATATCTACTCAAATCACTATAGTTTGAACCATGTATATCCCGTGAGATAAATTTTATATATATAAAGTTGATACTTGAGTGGATTAGGTGCATGTCCCCCATTGGCTTGGGTTTGACCAATGAGTTGTCCTATTGGTTGACCAAGTTTTCCTCCTAAACTCTTCTTGTATTATGTCATAGGATTAAAATATCTATAAAAAAACTGAAATAACATAGAGAACTGGCTAGAATAAGATTAAGTTGTCAACTAATAGATTAAGGCTTTATTTGAGACGATTTTTTTATTGCTTCTTAAAGAAGCTTTGTCATGCAAAATTTAAAATTTTGCACTACAAAGCTGCTTTAAGAAGCAGTGAGAAAGCTGTCTCAAACGAAATCTAAGATTTTTGTTTGAGACAGCTTTCTTGCTGCTTTTCAAAAAACTTTTTAGTACAAAAGATTTTCAAATTAAAAATTTTTATATTAAAAAACTACTTATAAAAACAATAAGAAAAATATCCCAAATAATATCTAAGACCGATGGTTAAATGATCATATGCAAAGAATCAATTGATATCACACAAATTACTTAATGATAACAAATGAAAAATTAGGAGACTCATAAAATTAATTCAAAATAGTTGAGATTACACTAATGATAATATATATATAACGATGATGATAGCATATAAATAAATATTAAAGTGTTATATAAAAATGTATTGATTTTATGTAGGCATGCAATAATATTATCACAAAGGTTGGCTTTCACCTAAATGTTTACTGAAATCAATGGCGAGCTTCTAGGCTGATCAGCTATCTTTGTTGCTGCGCAGGTCTGCACAGGAGTTAGAGACAAGGTGTGCAGCTCCTGCTAATGATGTTGTCTATGAAGGTGGATGGTGTAATGATTCTTCAAGTACGTGCATGTGCTCTATTAGTCCACAAATATGATTATAAACGATATAGAAAATAATAGAAATGGCTGCTACTAGATTAAATTATGTGTGCTGTTAATTAATTTGTCATTCTTTTCTTTGCTTCAGAACTTTTAAGTTACATATATATTACACTCTTCTTATTTATTATATTAGTGACATGTGTACTCCCTATCCGTTCACACCGCACACCGCTTTTGGAAAGAAATAAAAGCAATGAGATGTTAAATTTGTGGGGGGAATTAAAACCATGTAGTGAAATAATTAAGTAAGAAATATAAAATACAAAAAAAAAAAATTATGATTTAACCTGAAAAATTTTGAAACTAGAAAAAAATCATGGAACCACATCACATCAATAAATTCACTATGAAAAATATGTGAAATAGTATATCTCTTTTTTCTCTCTCCTCGTCTCTCTTCTCTCTAACATCGTTCTTATAAAAGAACAAAACAAGAGAACACAACAACTACCAAGAGATGTAAGTTGGAAATATTTTATCGTAATTCGTCGGAAATCTGACGGAAAAACGTCTAATGAAAAGTAACCAAAAAGTCTGTCAGTAATGGGGTGATTTTACTATAGTGAAGTACTCTTTTTGATCTTTATGACACCAACAGTGCTGGGTCTGGAGTGCTATAACGTTATGCCCTATGTATTTTTCCACCAAACTATGTAAAGCTGAGATGCTGGAGCGTTGCACATAAATTTAAAAAAAGAAAATGGTGCAAAGCACCGTACCTAAACCCAAAGTAGGAGGAGAACCCACAGTGAGCTTGATAGATTGAATTGAGGTTTGAGGTAACAGTACAATCCGATTGATCGGCACAATAAGATTCCACACAAAACTAACAAAATTCATCAAAATATCACCCAATAACCCAAAATCTATAGATATACTCCACACCTATATTAACCCTAAACTAAATTCAAACAAAAAGTAGATGTTTGGCACTTCCAAATTATGCATATAACGGGCTTTTAGCTTAATTACAAATCATATAAGCATAATGTTTAATTAATGACCATTTTGGAGACGTGAGAAATATTTATTTTCATTATATCAATTGGTTGACACAAAGTCTTTATCACACTTAAAATTTGTGCATACGTGCAAAGTGTTTTCGGGTAGGTAGGTAGGTAGAGAGAGAGAGAGAGAGAGAGAGAGAGAGAGAGAGAGAGAAGTTGTGAAGACCAGGAAGAGAAAGGGAGAATGGATTAGAAGCTATGGGAAGAGCATGAAACAGGTGGGTGACGTTTGCTACGAGAGACAGCACGCGATAGCTCTTTGGTTCAATGCCGAAAAGGAGGGGGGGATTGCCTATCCCGGTCCGAACACAGAGAAAATAAAAATATAAAACTATATATACAGTAATTTCTTTCTTGGATGATCAGGCCAACTAGCTCGCCTAGGATAAAAAAGGTATGCCTATAAAAAGGAAGGAACAAAGGATTATCATCTCCTACCAGTACTGCACTCCTTCTGATCCCTTTGTCTCTTTGTCCACCTCTTCGATGGGAGCGTTGTCAACCTCTCAGCCCTTCCAAAATAACTAATTACTTTCTGTTGAAGACGACGAAGTGAAAGGAAAAGCCAAACCAACTATTTTATTCGAGTATAGGAAGAAGAAACGAAATGGAATGCTACTGAAGAAAAAGGAAAAAAAAAAGTCGAAAAAAGAATGATGAGGATGAGCTTTAAGGGTTGTTTTATCAGTGAAATATTATACTTATTTATAAACAAGTCTAATAATTTTGAATTATCATATCCAAATTGATCAATATACTCTGAATCAGTTTTCTTTCCAAGGAAGTGATCATGACAAAGACATAATTTGAAACAAAATTTTGAAGATCATTAATGCTTGATATACTCATAAAATCAATCTATTCTCAACACAAACAATGCTACACTCCTTTAGATAATTAAATTTTACTTTTAAAGCTTTTTTTTCCTTCTTGTGTAAACAATTTAGATGACTCAATAAACAAAACATAGGTCATATATGTACATCATTTAGACACATCAAGCAAGAGAATATCATTTTGGTGTGAATTTATTTAGCATGCAATACTTTAGTTTCATTTTGAACAATTTTCTTATTACTTTACTAAAGCAGCTTCATAGCATCAAAAATTTTAATTTAAAAAATTATTGTACTAAAAATTTACTTTAAGAAGTAATAAGAAAGCGTTCCCAAACAAAACTTTTATTTCTCTTTCAAAATGCTCACTCATATGACATTACATAGTAAAATATATCAAATTTATATGATATTAGCTATAATTTGACCTTATTGTTTAAAAAACACAATCATATCAAAATTTTATGAATAAAGCGGCCATATATTTTAATATATTTTACAACTAATTAATGCTTAATGTATTTTTTGGATTTTTTTAACTCCCACAATATTATTGATCCTTCTTGATAATTAAGGCTATTCCTAATTATTTACCTACTTAAGTTAGTGAGGAGTTTGTCATCCCAACTGCATCATAATCTATGTTATGTGAGGGTAAAGTATTAGTAGTTGCATCATAATCTATCCCAAAATCAACCTCTATATTGCTCACGCCCTAAACATTTCAAGCTGGATTTAGGGTAATTTTTCCTTAAGATATTATTCTTCCTTCTCCATCTTCTCTAGGCTCTAGCTAATGGATTGCAATGTCTTGTAGGCGCAGCCCCACATGGTCTGCTCAATATTTTTAAGGTTAAATCGAATAATATTAAATCAAAAGATGATAATAAACTCTTCTGACTATAATAGAAAATCTTTCTTGATTGGGCAAGGAAAAAGAAAGAAGAAAGAAATATTATGAAATGTTTCCCACATAAAAATCCTAATTAAATTCTAAGAGAGTAGTGGCCTATCTGAATGAAAAACTTACTATGATTAGCTTCTCATTTTCTTCCTTTTACATCTCATTTGGTTCTATTGATTATATTTTTTTTACTTGTTCTAAGATTTCACATCTTTTTTTCTTTAATTATATTTGATTTAATACTCCTTTTTTTTTTTTTTGATTTAATACTCCTATTAACAGTACGTAGGTGACTTCTCTTCTAAAATTGAACACATCGGAAAAGCTTCAATTATTAATTTGGGATTTACATACATACCATTTTATTTCATGTCATTTATATATTTAACATCTAAAATTTTAATATTACATTCCTACCATTCATAGAACAAATATGAGAGCATGGAATAAAACATTAAACTTTATAGGGTGGTATTATGGGTGGTAAGAATGAAATATAAGAGTGTTATATTTGATATTAAAATTTTATATGAATGTTAAAAATGTAATATTAAAGTTTTATGAGTTAGATATGTAAATTACATGAAATAAATTATGGTATGTATGTAAATCCCCTTTTATTATACTTTTACTCAATTTGTATCGACATTATACCAATTTTCATTATAAAATTTAAAAGCTATGTATACTCTCAGAGAAATTCTAATAATTTTTTTTTTCAGAATGCTAAGAAATTTGGATTAGTTATTCTTATTCTTAAATTAAAAAGGAAACATTATTATTTTTCTAAGATTTTTTTAATCATTATTTTTCATTAAAAACCCAAATTACGAGGAATTCTATACAAATATATGAATATGATTTTTTTTAGATCTAACAGAAGCTACAGATAAATAACATGCAAAAAACGACAATAGGTTGCCTAGATCTGCAACCATGCATGCAAATTAATGAAGAACACAACTATTTTATCGTTATGAACAATTTCTATTAAAATTTTATGATATTGATTGATCCATCAATAGACCATCATCATCTTTTTTTATATTATACATAAGTATAAGGGTTACAAGCGATCAAAGAACGGATCAGCTTCAAACCTACAAGAACTGGAAGCACACGCACCTATGCTGAGCTGATAAGAACACACCACTCTTAAGTGAAGTTCCCTATTATTTGTTAAACTTATAAGAGAGATAGAAAGCAGAATCTGTCGAACGGCTCTTTGGATCTAATTATAACTTCATTTTTTTACAGATAAAAAATAATTTTTTGCATTAAAAAATTACTTTAAGAAGCACTTTGAAAGCTGTTCCAAACAAAGCCTATATCTGTAGCATTTTTTCTTTCAGATTATTGATTTTGGTTAAAGTTCCTAATTTTTTCGTTAAAAGAGGAGACAGTACGAGTAAAGGATATGCTGTTCGGTAATATATGAGGAAGAAAGAGCTAAAATGCTGCTGCCTAAGAACATAATAGATCGAATTCCCAAACAAAAAAGAAGAAGTAGAAGAAGCAGAAGAAGTAGAGATCTCAAAAGGATAAAAACTAATTAGTGAAACCTAATCGATCGAAACCATTTAAAAACAGTCAACTATAAAAAAAATGAAAATCAGAACTTTGCGTGACGAAATTGATAACATAAAACATTCTAAACCTTCTATGTAATTGATTGGAAAATCATCGATCAAAACATGAAAAAAAACCAATTTTTAAATTTATTTGTTAGAGAAATATATAAGATAGTCTGATCTAAGTTTTTTGAATTAAGTCCTCTCAGCGAATATCAAAAGTTTCAAAATTAAATAAGAAATAATTTGAAATTAAACTTTGATCAGTTTCTTAACAACAATTTCTTTTAGGTATAATAAAGAACTAACAACGATTAAGAGCTCAAAAATCATGAAGAAGATTATAGATCGCAAAGGTTAATTAATTAGAACCATGCAGGCTATGAGGTTATGCGAGTAATACCAAAACCTTCTGAATTTCCTCCTCCACTAATCTTCTCTTGCAATGCTTTGGGAATTCTGGTTGAACTGAGAGAGAGAGAGAGAGAGAGAGAGAGAGAGAGAGAGAAAGAGCAGAATTGGGATTGAGTTAGGAAAGAAAGAAGAGAATGGGGAGAGTGAGGAGTATAAAAAGAAAGTGTTTCCTCTCAATTGCGCGTGGGCTGATGGAATGAAGGGCCTGCTTCTCAAGTGGGTGACGTCACCTTCTCAGCTTTCTCCCCAGGACCCCAACTCCTTTCCCTTTTCCTCTCTCTCTCTCTCTCTCTCTCCAGCTCTCTGCGTGAGTGAAGGGTTTCTCTTCCGGTTTTCATGTAGCTTACGAAACAAAGCTAGAAGGCCTTTGAAGGTACAGTTGGCATAAAAAAGGGGTGGATATATAATTGGGAAGCAATTCTTAGAAGGAATTCTATGTAGAGTTCTTACAAGATGGGAAAATTTGATTTGGGTGAATTGAAATTAATTTGATATATAATTATATTTTTATTAAATAAAATAAAATATATATTGATCAAACATATTTTTCTTTAGTTAAACGATTTGATTGTTACCAGTTTTTATATTTAAGTATTTTTTAGAGTAATTTATATTTATATGATAAAAATATCTGTAAATAAAAAAAAATATTTAATCTTAATTTATGAAAATATAATTTAGTACTGTAAAAACATGGTAATTAGTTCCGATTGAATTAAATTGTGTCTAAAAGTATTATTTTAAATTAATTTTAAATTTTAATCATATTTTCTTAAGAGTATTTATTTCAAAATTGAGCCTAGAGGAATAATTACACTTACATGTGTGACAATACAATTTAAATTTTTTCCATCATTAAAAAATTGAGACTATAAATTCAAAATCATGGCTGATGAAAAGGCTTTGTTTAGGACCATTTTTTTATTGCTTTTCGAGTAGCATTTCAGTACAAAAATTTCTAAACTTTAAAAAGCTATAAGAAAGCCATCTTAAACGAAAAAAAAAAAAAATGAGGATAAAAATTCAGTTGTGAATTATGGTTATGTTTGGGATAGCTTTTGACCAGCACTTTTTCACTAACTTTAAAAAAAAAAAATTGTACTGAAAAATTGCTATATAAAAAAACTATTGATGCCAAAATGAACGTTGAATAACCTTTTTAACTCTATCAAGATGTTGTAAGCGACCTTCAAATGCTAGAAAAAACATCCCTCAAAAGTTTTCTTTTGTATATATGTTTTCTTTAAAATCAAACATATAAAATAAAAAAGTATATATAGAAACATTAATAAAAATGCTACATACTACATATTAATGCTTCTCAAACAACCTCTTACTGAAAAACAAAATTGAGTTTGGTCAAACAAAATTGAGTTTGGTATCAAAGACCCATTGTTATGTTGTATAAGCTGCTTCTTCCTAACTTCTCTTATGATCTCTATATTGTGTTGTACTTTATCTGCTGTCGGTTGGGGAAGTTCGACTGATTTTCTGATAATTCTGGTTGGAGTAAGTTGCAGATTATTGGATACTTAGGCTATACGATCTACTTTAATTCCTATTTTGATTTCTGGAGATTGTCTTGCGGGGGTATTAAAAGGATGACTTTTATCAAGAGAAAGACTATCTTATGGACTTTTAACAGAGTTTTTTTGGCCTCCTTTGTTCATGTTTTTCACTATAATTCTAATATTTTTTTGTGGAGTTTGCCTTGCAGGGATTATTACAGAGTGAGCGTTACTAATAGCAAGGTTCTCTCTTTTAATTTTACGCATTTCTATCTCGATTATTTTTGGTCTTTTTGCAGGAAGATGATGCTGAAGTCCTTAATCCTGATCTTCCTTTTTTGGGGGCTGCTTTCTGTTAGCACTGTTTTTACTTTAGGTTCTTTTTGTAATCATAGTATAAGGATCCGCCGGCTCTTAGGTTTTCTTTTTTCCTTCCTGATTGTAGCTCGTTCGAGCATTACTGAGCTGGCGGAGCCTTTTAAGGACTATGTAACCGTTTTTTTTTGAAAAAAAAAAGAAAAAAAAAAAACAAAGATATTGCTAAGATATCTTTCCTATCCTACTGTTTATCAGAACTTGCTGATGATTATAATATATTGAGCCAACTGTAATTAAATTGTTATATAGAACAAAAAATTGTTGACGAAAATGAGATGAAATTCTAAGCCCTTATTGTCTACGATCATGTCAGCCTGTGCGGGCATTGATATTCCGACGCCCCTCTTTCACTAACTGTGAGCCGTCGCGCTCAGGGAATGGCCTGGACCAGATTTGTTAGTTGGCATTTCATGCGTCAAATAAACAGGTGAGACTGGACCTATATATTATTCTAATTAATGACCCGATTAATGGACCCCTTGTCCATATTAGGATTGATTGATTAATACTTATAAAAGACTAATCAAACCGTCTTTGCCAAATCTGTTAGGAAAAGAACTATATTGAGTTTCCCCTTAATGAGAGAATGAAAAAGTACATTGCCAAACTATTTTAGATTGAGAGCTATTAGGTGATCAAATTTTTTCTTCTTCCATATGTTATTATTTTTGTATTTCTTGCCTGCTATAGAAGTCATGTTAGTGGAGTCATTCTTATTTTGTTACGGGCAGCTTTCTTACTGTTTTTTAAAGAAGTTTTTAGTAAAAAAAATTTAAATTTGAGAGCTACACAACCTTCAATTTTAGCTAACATGTATTCAAAATGGTTGTAATGGCAAGATTAATTATTTTTCCAATAGAAAATATTTCACATCATATTCAAGCAACCTCAAAAAGCATGCTTAGAAGGGCAATTTAAAATTAGTTGAAGGGTGGAACAAATTTTGATCCCTAAAAATAGCACATTGTTTTGCCATTTTTATTTAGCTTTAATTTGATCCCAATGCTCTGAAATTATGCAACACACATAAATGTCTAATTCACACTAACCATTGATAATTGTCTTCTCTTATTATACAAATAAGTTAATAGTAATTCCTTAACTTTCTTTGATGTTTGTTAAAGATGATAAATGTGGTCTACACCCCAAATTTAATTTTGGATGATTATTAAATATTTGATCCATTAACTTCATTTTGTTCATGGTATAAAGAGATTTGCAAGATTGTCTTTTGTTCATGGCTTAGAGTTTCCATCATTGGTAGTTGATACCACACCACCATATGCTACTACAATCAACCAATTGTTTTAATTCTTGACCAATCCATGCCTTGAGTTGGTCAATCAAGCTAACTTGGTAATGAATCATCCATTTACTTTTTGATCAGGTATGTGAGTGTGGGAAAATAAAATTATGTGTTTAAAATCCACGCAGATTCGAGGTGCTCCTATTATTGTTATTGAATACGACATTGAGAGTAAAATACTGAGAGATAGACAAATTATTCTACAATGGATTCATATACAAAAATAGGGTATTAAAAATTATTCACTTTCCTAATCAAATACAGATAGAGGAATAACACACGGTGTCTCAAAAGGTAGAAATATCATTCAAAATTAGTATTTAAAGATGAAAGTGAGATTTTTAAAAATCCTTCATTTATGTGATCAAATACAATAATGATAATATCATATCACCTCGGGAGGTAAAAATGATATTATAAGTACGAAGTGATTAATTGAATACAAAAAATGGGATTTTATGAAATCATCTACCTTACCAGAGATTTTTTCTCTATCTTATGAAAATAAGATATAACTTATTTTAATCTAGAGTTATTGGTTCCCCATAAAGATTAATCATATCCTAGGAGAATTAAATCTTCTAAGAATACTCCCGATAAAAGTTATTGCAAATATTTGTGCGGATTTCAACAACTAAGACAAGGATGAGAGATAAAGAATTTTCAAAGAGGATTGTATCAATTTGGAACAACTCTTTTAGAAGCCAATGATTGAAGAGTATGGAGCATTTTAAGATTCTGTGACCTCCTAAAAACACTCCAAGCTAACCTATGTTAGAATTTAATATTTTAGAGAAAAGATTTTATATTTGACTTTATATTTTATTAGATATTTGATATTATATTTCATGATGGTAAGGACTTATGATTTGATGCCTGCCTCATAACTTAGATCTAGGTTGGACACTATACAATAGTAATCCAAACCTATTCTAAGTGCAGTCCTAGACTTACATCTTTTCTTTAGCAGAATGCCAGCTAAACTACCTAAATCGTCTAAAAGTTATGTTGTCCAGTACTCTTGTAAGAGATGGATAAGTTATTATTATTATTTTTTTTGAAGTATAGGGCCGACATCTAGAGAAAATTCTAAGTGGCCCTACACATGAATATTATTTTACTTTTAAAACTGATGCAATTAAATTTTAATTTTATTTTGTTTTCAATGTGATGCATACTAGTTGAAGTATCATAATTATGAATGCTTGAAGTTTTTGAAGAAGATTTACAAATAATTTTTTTAGAAGACTAGACTTTCCCAGGTTCAACACCTCATTCTTATAGGCCGAATTATCTGAACTCTACTCTTGGTCTAGGAAGTGTCTAAAATGAGGATAGAAATATAAAAAATATGTATGTGACCCTAGAATACATTTAGTTTACTTTTTAAAAATGTTTATACTTAGATAATATTTATTCCTTAATTTTATTTTTAAATTATGAGTAGAAGAATTTTTATCCCTAAAATTCTAATCAAAATTCAGGCACATACACATGTAAAAAAGAAAACTATGAGAAATACATAATTTTCACTGCACAAATAATATAAATAGATCAATTTAAAAGAGTCTAAATATTAAAAGTTTATGTGACAAGCGTCACTTAATATGCAGCATAAGGTCTATTGAAAATAAATTTAGCCAGGCTCCACCAATAACAAACTTGGATTCTATTCCTATGATATAAAGCAAGTCTTTATAAAATAAGGTATTTTTATCTTAAATTCTTCTTGGTTCCAATATTTAGACTTCTTTTGTTCATCCAAATTGGGTTTCCAAATGAAACGAATTCTCCAATTTTAACATATATTTTTTCCTCTTTGAATATCAAATATTTCAGAAAAATATATTATTTTATTAATTTTCAAAACTCTTTACTTTTACTAAATTACATAATTAAAAAATTAAAAAGACTCAAATTACCTACATGTTAGTGAAGAAATTGAATATATAAAAAAATATCAAAATCACATTGCATCATAATCATTTGCTCATCTTTTGAGCAAACTATATATTGTTTATGCTTTTAATGATTAGGGGACTAAGTAACAAAAACACCTATATATAAAAATTAATTAACTTTAAATTATGATTAATTTT